TTTTCTTCAAAATTAAGCAAGACTCATAGTACTTTGGTGCTGCTCACCTTATCTTTAATTGAGATTAGTGATATTTCCATTTCCCCATCCTTTTTCAAAGTATACCTACATGATAAGGGTCAACATGGTACTCGAGCATCAATGCTTTTGTAGTAACTGGCCACGAGTATACTCTTAGCACTCCTACATGGATGGTAAGGAATGGTACTCCAGCTCTATTTCACTGTGAAGTAGATTAATTCAACATTTGCTGTAGAGTAAAAGCATGAAGATACAGCAGATGAGGTGAGGAGCAGCTACTTGTTAAACCACCAAAATATAGCTGCCTGCCTAGATTTTCCGAGTACTTCAGAGTAAGTGATACACTGTCCAAGAAGAACTTTCCCTGACACCATGTAGACAGATGTTAAGAACTTTCCCTGACACCATGTAGACACACCATGTAGGCAGATGTCGGCTGTCAGTTCCACTGACTTGGAGTGACATAGTCAGAGTTTTTTTGCCTATAGGAATTATTAGAGTACAGTAAGCTCTGAAGTGGAGTACATCACTCAGAAAGGGAAAGAAAAGATGGACAGACCAGTTATCATTTTACAACACGAAAAAAAAGTGATGAATATTTATTGTTCTGTGGTCTTGCTATAAAACTACCTCCTAAACTTGAGGTAGTATAGTCCTTGCAGTCCATGTTGCTCCAGAGAAATAACATATGCTTTTACCTTTGTGAAAAATGGTTGGTAATACAGAGAAAAAGAGTCTTCCCTGTTCCCTGAACCTGTATTTTTAGCAGTATTTTTCTTTTTTATTTTGCTATCCAAATTCTTTCTTTTTCAGTGTCACCCTTCTCTTGCCTGTGAAGATGGTGTAGGATACCTTCCACAGGAGAAGGGAAAAGAGGGCAATTATGAGTATCATCTCACCTTTTCAGAGGGATGCGAGTGAGCTAGCAGGCAGGTAGACTTATCCTAACTGCTTGAATAAACAGCAAGCGACTCAAATAATTGAATATTTATGGTTTTAACAATTGGCTTTCTTGGAATTTATCTCAGAAAATAAAAGCAAAGCAATGAGCTTTGTTTTACAAAACCTGTACCTCATAGTCAGGCTTTCTGATATTTTACATGGTAAAAGGGACAATTAGAGTTTTTTCTACACCTGAAATATTCAGAATCTCTCCTTTCTCATTGTTTTCATTCTTCTGGTTCTTTCGTGGTTAATAGGAGCTGATTTATACTGAAGGCTTACAGATGCATCTACATTAGTGTTTTAGTTTGGATGGGAAATCTCCTGACAGTTCTCATTTATTGCGTTTTGGTTCACATCCTGAAACAATCTCAGAGTGCATGAACTGTATTCCTTCTGGCTGAAATTAAAAGGGAAGATGGGCTTCAATGCGAGCTCTATGCCTTTGTTGAATTTTTGTAGAAAATGCACGTGATTTGTTCTTCCACCATTTCTAAGGTGCCACTAAACATTCTAAGACGATATTTTAAGAACCAGCAAGTATAAGCATGTACAGGATTTATTTGAAGGACACCTGGTTTTCACTTTTGCCTTTGTACTAACTATATTAAACTGCCTCTTAGTGGCCCGTTGCATAGGTAAATGTAGATTTCTTGTCATTTATTTATCAGAAACAAAAATCCCCAACAACCACCTCACTGCCCTGGTATGGGAAACACCAAAATTGGCAACAAAAAAGTAAATTTATTTTTAACCATTTGCTATTGAATGATGTTTATTGAAACATTGAATTATTATTGAATTATATTATTGTTTTATACTATTCTATGGAATCAAGTGAACATTAAAACTGAATAAACCTACATCTGCCTTTCTCCTGATTATAGCTCATGTAAGCTAAGCATAACGGTAACAAGACTGCTCTCGAGCATGAATATATATATATATATCTCTGATACCTTGATAGCTTGGTAAATGAAAAGCCGCTAGGGGAGCATTATATTTGAAGAAAAACTTAAATTTAAAAAAGCAAGCATACTGGTCCCCAGAGAATTCAGCTAAGATGAATTTAAACTACACTAGATTTTAATTAAAGTGGTACTAAAAATGCTATGATGAAATTATTTTTTGTATGTGTTTGGGTTTTCACGTTTTTTGCATGGAGATTCTTCTTTATTGACAAGTAAGCATCTTGCAAACAATTGTGCAAGGACCTACTTGTCTACAGCCACTTAACGCCTGAAGCACAGACCTTATTACGAAACCTACAAGCTATCCAATACATTAAAAAAGAGACTGCAGATAGCATTACAAATTATTGTTCATCAGAAGTGTGACACAAACGCTTTGGTAAGACTATATAGAAGTCTATGTTTGATGTTTTTGATGAGATGAGATGTGTTTTGTCCCTACTGTTGCCAATGGATTCTGGGCAGGGAGGATTATAGAGAATCCTGCCATTCCTATGAGATATGTCTGGAGACAGCAATTCTTAAATATTTTCTTTAAAAAAAATATCTTTAGGAGACCAGTAATATTATTCCTTGTGACCTGTACAAGATCAACCCAGAGTTCTCTCTTAACAGGTTACTTCAGCATGACTTAAATATTGACACATAAATAACGCCACTACAGAGTGTCTTCAATACTTTCATTCTTGTAAATATACAAACAGTAAACAGCCACTGAGCTCAACAAAAGTGGGAATGAGAGTTTTCTTTCAAATGATTTAAAAAAGGGCTTCTCTTGATATAATAAAAATATCCATAACTAGGAAAAAAAAAAAGCCACTATCCAAAAGAAAACTGTTCTATGTCTCAGAAATTAACAATCTTAGTTCTATGAACAGTGCTGCTGAAATGCAGAAAATTGGCATCAGCTGGTGTCACAATCTGCTGGGTGCAAGTCACAGAAATGAAAATGCTAGAACATAAATAATGAACCCACTTTTCAGCCTTCTGAATTTTTAAGTGATTGGAAACAAAAGGTGCAACCCCCTCATGGGGATTAGGTATTTAGTTAAGTGTGGAACTCCTTGCAATAATATCTTGTGGGTACAAACATTATACATGGGTTCAATGGAGAACGGATAAATCCATAGGACATAAATCTACTAAGGTCATGTAATACACAGGAAACATCCAGGAGGACATTGGGCTTGGGAGGACCTTGGGCTACAAAGAGTTGAAGGCTGTAATGACATTCTGAAGAAGTGTCAGTATACATTTTTTTTGCAATTATGCATTTCCCAAAGGAATTCATATTTGGTCATTGTCAAATATAATACAGGGTAGATAAAACTTTACTCTTACTTAGGCGAACCTTTCTAATGATTTTTATTTTATGTCCTTCTGTTTTTGTTAAATTTACGAAAATTTATTAATTTGGGTCTCTGATAGCTGTGACATATTTTCAGAGTACAGCTTTGTATCTTCCTCAGACATGACCATCTGCCCCTATCTTCTTCGTCTGAGTAAGTTCAAACTCTCAGTGACCCCTCTGCATAACTCTAAGAAGACAACAAATCTCTTTCTATGTAAAAATTAGAAATGGAAAAAAGTATCCTTTCAATTTATATAGCTTTACAATTAAAGCTACATTACAACTAGAAATACAAAATGAACACTATTCTACAGAACTTGTATGACCAAGTCCAAAATTAGGTATAACATATAGTGTTTCTATAGATTTTCAAAGAAACCTCTTGACAGTTTCAATTTGTATTATTTGTTGTATCCTGAATTGGTGCAATTATCTATTTCTACCAAAGTGTAGAAATGCTCTTGAGAGCAAGGAATATTTTTAAGTTTTTTTCAAACTTGCCAGTATCTTTTTGAATTCTTATCTAATTACAAACTATCAAACTACCTACTATACAGAAGTTATTTAATAACATAAGAAAAAAAAAGATGTAAATATTTCATCTTGGTTTATAAGATCTATTCGGTCATTCTGAAACCATTCATGAAAGTGTCTCAGATTTATTGACTAATTCCTACTGAAAAAAAGGTTTTTGACATTAGAACCAAAATTCTGTAAGTCATGGTATCATCTTCATTTTAGACAAAATGATAGAAGCTATTCCAGAATGACAAAGATCTGGGTTCAATTTTCTCCTTTCACTAAATGGCATCAAACTTTCATTTTCCACAAGAATACTACCACCTGCAATATATTCTGATATGTGTCTCCTCTACATTGTTCAACTAGAGCTGGTTATAAAGTACCTAGTTAATTAGCTAATGAATAAGACTGACATACCCTAGTTGTTGGATAGTCACCAAAGGTATAGAAGGCTTGTTTTCCCACCCATATAGACCATTTTTTTACACAGTGTAGAACAACATAAAAAAAAAAGAATTATTACAGCACATGATAGTAGCACTACAATTGGATAGCAAGGAACCACAAACAGAAAAAGATATAGTTGAGTTAGATGCACAGAGAGTAAGAAAGAGAAATAAAAATTGCCTTTTATTTCAGAATAGTCTTAGGAGAAAAGAAAACATAAAATTCTTTTTTAGGAGGTGGTATGTAATACAGAGAATTGTGTGGGTTTTTTTTAAACAGGAGGTCACTAAGCATGCTTGGAGGACTAAAAGTTCTTTTAAAAAACAGGCACGTTTTTGCCATTTCCTTCAGTTCCAATCATCTCACATAGGACTCAGAAATACAGCTGATGAGCAGAAAGCTTTCCAGAAGATATAAACATTCGGGCAAGGAGAAGAAGCAGAATAGCGATTAAATATGAATACGAGGATGTGATAACAAGAAAAGAAAAATAGATTGAAATGTAAGACAGAATATTCTAAATAATGCTATAATCAGTTTAAATGCATTCACAAAGCGAAAGAAAACTGTATCACAAACAATACTGTGGGGAACTGAAGACTAAAACATCCTAGTGCTCTTTTCTCATAGCCCTCATCTTGCAATGGCAATTCTTCTGACTGATGAAGTTTTCATGAGCATCATCCCTCCAGAGCTTGGTCAATCTTATTTACAAAATGTCCAAATGAAAGATAAGGGAACAATACAAGGCATGCTGACAGCCTAAAGACTAAAACGATCTGTCTCTGCAAATGGTCCCACTACAAGTTAAGGGATTATTTTGCTTCCAGCTTCGTAAAAAAAAAAACAAAAACAAAAAAAACCCCAAAAACAAAACAGCAAAGCAAAGAGTTGACTAAGATGACAATCAGATAAATATGAGTATTGCCTATAGTTGCTGAGCTTCTAGAAATGGCTAAGAATTGTAAATGCAACATTACAGAAAATATTTTTTCCTTCAACCTTATGTGTCAGGATAATTACTATAACTGGAAAAATGAACACCATATACATATAATTAAAAATGTAAAGTATATTTCTTCTAACAATTGCATTCATAACCTGTTTTTCCAAAGCAGCTTTTTAAAAAATATTTATCGGATATTTATACTGTTTTAAAGCTGATGTTGCTTCAGGAAAACATTTTATGATGTGATGAACCACTTTTACATGTCTGTTCTTTCATCTCACAACGAAGAGGATGTGTGCAACTAAATGGAATGTAATAGATTTTAACAGTGCAAATAAATATGTACACAAACATGCACACATTACTTCATGTTTACTTTAGGGGCAAAAATGTCTCGAAGAAATAGCTAATACCTGAAGCTGATTGTAGAGTAACACGCAGTGTTCCTAAGAATCCTGAGGGAAATCTTCCCCAGTTTTAGGACAGTCTGTAAGAAATTCTCGTCTCCATCACAACATTGCTCTATTTCCTACCATCCTGCTTGCCAGATTGAGGCCTTAGAATTTAGGCTCTCAAAATTAGTAAATGTATTTTACATGTTACATGGGATTTTTTTTTCTCCCTGTATTGTCAACAATTGTTAATTGGCTTTATTGATGGTAAGCAAATAAAGCAGAGGGGGGGGAAAGAGCAAATTCTCTGAGGAATAGCCATTTGAATGAGATAGGCACGTGCATTGCTCAACACATGCCTATCCACACGTGGTCAGATGGTTCAGAATTTAATTTGAAAAGAGATTAGCTGTTCATGTAATTTCTTGTTTTATTAACACATCCAATGCTATATCTGACAACAGGGCTTAGAGACCCATCTGCAGTCTTATTCCTTCAATATGCCTGCTTCAAATTGTTTTATTTTCATATTAGTTTACTAGTGACGTAGCAATCAGAATATGGACATAGTTAGTGACATGTGAGACAGTATGTTTGGAGAGCAGGTTCATGCTAAGTGAGTTTAGCCCAGATAATTCATTTAAACCTGAGAAAAGACTGAAAGATAACACTGTATAGGCATTACTGAAGACCTAGATAACACTGTCATGAAGTTTAAGTTGGAAAAATATCACCAACAAGATTATTTTTAAGTTCAGGTGGCATGGGATTTAGGTGCTTATTGTATATAACATTTCATGCAAGCACTAGTAGAAAAGATCAGTTTCATGCACACAAAAAAAAATTGGTTTTGAACGGAACTATAGGAGTCAGTTTCATACACAGCTTGCCAGACATTGCCTCACATGATCTTTCTGCTATCAGATTTTTGGACATTATACAGCGCATGTTGAGATATTGTAAACAGTGAGATATAATTACAGTGAGCTTCCTGAAGTATTTTGTTTTGAAACTGGAAGGTGTAAAGACAATAATAGTTGAGAAATATAAGTTTATAATATTAATTAACCCCACACTACAGTCTCTTCCTGTGCGACAGACTGTATCTTTGCCTTGGATAACTGTGCAAAGGCTGGAATTAGAAGCAGCAAAAAGAAGGGCAACATAAGGAGACCTTAATATGCTACATCTGCTGGACAACTTAATTAGAACAAAAACCAAATTGTTTGAGACAGTACCAAGTATGATCCCCAGAAGCAGTTCCTGGAATAGCTCTACTACATCTTACTAATTGCACTCAGTCGAACTTGGCTAGACAATCTTCATAGATGAAAAGGTTCAAATTAACCTGGTTTGAAGAATACCTTGGCAGGTTTTGTTGTACTGTAATCAAGATGATAATGAAGAAAATTAAAAAACAGAGAAAAGAGGGCTTCAATTTGACCTTCTCAGACATCTCATCTGGAAGAGCATTCTCAATCAATTATAGGTTGGTGCAGCCTCATAATAATACTTTTTTGAGATGTTCCCTCACAGGAAGTGCAGGTGTCCATATACAATAGATGGGAATGCTTTATTTACTAGCATTTGTTGATTATCCTTATTTCACTACATGCCAATATTTCCCCCATCCTCTGTCACTGGAAAACTATGTGTTCTTTTGGTAATTAGTAACGTATTGTTAACAAAGACACTGTGCTCTGAACTTACATATCACACACCTAAAAATACACTCTAGCAATAAAAGGTATTTTCTTTTTTCTTTGCAGTTCTTTCATTTTGCATTTCACTTCTAGTAATTCCAAAACTTTATAATTGAAGAAACAAGGCTTGAAGAGTCTACATAGACATCACAGTTTGATCTTTTCATATTAGATCTTCATAAGTGAGATATTTGAATAATAAAGTAGTGTTGACAAATATGTGACCTACATCAAATAGCAGTTTTTCTATTGTCACATAAGGGAACATTCCTGCAGCAGAATAAGTTTTGACTGTATCCAGGAACGCAACATAGCCCGGAATTATAGACCAGACCTCTGAACCAAGTTTCTAATAATTTCTAACAGCTACAGTAATATGCAGAATATCTTGATTCTCTCAAAAGAGAAAGATAAACCTGCAAGAGTATCTTTAAGCCTAAGGCTGCTTTGGCTTCAGAAAAATCAGGCTTGTGAGACAAAACAACTTTATCAGCCATTTACTTTAAAGAAAGATCTGAAGGCACTTCTAGAAGAAACCTAACGTGTGACTCGAATATTACTTCTTTGTTGTAAAGGAGAAAAAATTACAGTCCACATTCTAAAGACTGAATTCTTGAATTTCATATTCTGGATTGTTCTAAGGAACAATGTAGCCTTCTTAGACGAATGAAATAATGTTACTCAAAGTCAGAAAACAAGACATGTAAAAAGAGTTAGAGTTACGTTAAGGTCCTACAGTAGAGACAGATTTTGTAACTAAGAGATAAACCCAGTGAATATTTTTAGGTACCACAATGAGATGAGAGAAAAACTGTATGCTCCTTTACAATGAATGGTATACAGAATTTATTGCAAATGTAAAGATTTTCATGGACTGAAAATAAAGATTGCAATGAGATTACCTACAGACAACACCTGACATTTTTGCCGCATACATGCATCTGAGTACAGATCTATTTTCTGATCTGAAACAGAACAAGAATATCTGCAGAACTGTCTTTTTAATTTCACAGCCCAATTATACTCAGTACAAGAAGACATAATGAAGTTAATATGGGTTAGAGAAAGATCCATTATTCCGACTGATCAAGCAGAAATGAAAAATAAAATAATCCAGAGTGACAATTTCAGCTGCAAGTGTTGATTGTGCCAAGGTGCTGTTACCAAGATGGCCGCGATTTCGCTGCCTTCTATCTTTAAGATTTACAGTTTCAAAAGAACTTCGGGGATGTACACAACAAGGCATAGAGCTATATTAGAGAGGTGCCTCCCTGAAAGCCCAGGCTGCCCTCTTCTGGAGTGAATGATCTTGCTCATCTGTCTTTGTTCACAGTCAAAGTCATATGAGGAACATCTCACAAACGAAATCCTCGCCTGATTATCGGGTCTTTAATTTTTCATTTGTGTTGTCATATACAAAACACCTACTGAACATGTATTCAGACAATCAAGAAAACAACTAGCATCTTGCCGTGACAGAGTCACAAACAATCACGACTTCCTTGTGCAATGGAGTAGATTTGCTTTTAGTATAGAAACTTTAATGGTACTAGCTGACATTATTTGGATCTACTGACTTCCAACTTGAGGTGGAATGCAACGCTATAAAAGCATGATCATTCATTCTGAATTTGAGAACACTTCTATGAAGTCAATGTTCTTGCTGGAAATAAAGCTGTGAAAATAGGCCACACCAAAGCTGCATTCACAGCCTGCCCTACGTATACGGGAGTGAGAGAAGAGTTTTCATCAACTTGTTGCATGTTCTTCCACCAGTTAAAGTTCAAAACAAATAACAGAATCTTTATCCTGACATTTTAGTTGCAGACAGTCTGATATTAAGGTATCTTCTACCATCCATGCAGGCCACATAGGCAATTTTATTAATATACAAGGCCATCTGATCCAAAGCTAAAGCACATACTTACCATTATATGTGGACTGTTCTCCGGCTAATTCATCAGAAAACGTTGTCACATGCTGTCAGTCAGATAATACAGTGCTGTGGTAGAGTTCAGGGGTTTTCTACTTGATAGAAATACACTTCTTGAAAATCAGGATCCCTGTTTCAAATCAGGGGATGTAGGAAAATAGCCAACACCAACAGTAAAACTGCTATCCCCAAATATAAAAAGGAGTTTTCTCTAATCCACCAAAAGTTACAAGCGATTGATTCTTCTTTGGTAGTAGACTATTAAGGTAGAGGCAAAATGATGAAGATTTTAGAATTAGAATAATTATTTTGTTGTATTCATCTCTTATCTGAATGATAATGAATCATTGCAAGTTTGCTCAAGAAAACATAAAAAGCACTGAAATTGAGTAGGGGAATACTAATGCCTTATTTAGATGGCAGTTCCTAGTTTAGAAATCCTGTAAAAAGCATTTTGATTGTTTCAAAGAAGGCAACAGAAAACTACTAGCTGCAGTTACTATGAAAACGGGTTCCATCTGTATATTGTTTCTTTCTAGTCAGCCAGAAGACCTTTGACCTTGATAAGCCTTAAAAAAAACACGTTGCTTTTTGCTGATGTGATGCTTAAAAACATGAGGCATAAATTCCCAAGAATATAATATAGAAGGAAACACTCAAATGCGCACAAATCCTCAATTATTATTGAGCTAAACATTCTTTTAAGGTGCAGATCTTCCACGAATTTTCAGAACAAGTTGGCAATTCAGAGGATTATAATCGAGACATATGATGAATTGCAATTGTTGTCACTGTAGATCTGGAAGGAACAAGGAACCTTTCAGTGAAATAATATCTACCTAAAGCAGAAAAAAAGCTGTAGCAGAACACTGTTTCTGCTACTCCTTGCTGACAATTATTATTCAAGGTTCAGCTTTTAACAATCTAGGTAAGAGACAAGCCTCAGAGACTTTTTCAAGAGAGACAATTTTGATCTGTTCTTTCTGGATTTTGGTATTCTCTTTACACATTAGTGCTCCTTGTCTCTTGTATAATTACAAGTGCATGCAGCAGAAAGACTAGGAGACTGTGTGTGGAAGAGAACTTCCTGACACAGCCAGTGAGTGAGCCAACTAGGGAAGGTGCCCCATTGAACCTGTTTTTTGTGAACAGAGAAGGACTTGTAGGTGATGTGACAGGAGGCCATCTTGGGCATAGCAATCACAAAATGATTTTTTGATTCTTGGAGAAGTCAGGAGAGGGGTCAGCAGAACTGCTACCTTGGTCTTCTGGAGGGCAGATTTTGGCCTGTTTAGGAGCATGATTGAGAGTCCCTTGGGAGGCAGTCCTGAAGGACAAAGCAGTCCAGCAAGGCTAGACATTCTTCAAGACAGAGATCTTTCAGGCATGGGAGCAGGCCGTCCCCATGTGCCAAAAAATAAGCTGGTGAGGAAGAAGACCAGCCTGGCTGAACAGAGAGATTTGGCTGGAACTCGGGAAAAAAAAGAGTTTATGACCTTTGGAAGAAGCGGCAGGCAACTAGGGAGGATTACAAAGATGTCATGAGGTTATGGAGGGAGAAAATTAGAAGGGCCAAAGCCCAACTAGAACTTGATCTGGCTACTGCCAGAGAAGACAATAAAAAAATAGTTCTATGAATACATTAGCAACAAAAGGAGGGCTAAGGATAATCTCCATCCTTTATTGGATGCAGGGGGAAACATAGTGACCAAGGATGAGGAAAAGGCTGAGGTATTTAACTTGCCTCCCTCTTTAATAGTAAGACTGGTTGTTCTCAGGGTTCCCAGCCCCCTGAGCTGTAAGGCAGGGAGCAGAATGAAGCCCCCATAATCCAAGAGGAAATTGTTAGCGAGGTACCACACCACTTCGATGCACACAAGTCTATGGGACCAGATCGGACCCACCCAAGGGTACCGAGGGAGCTGGCAGAAGTGCTCACCAAGCCACTTTCCAACATTTATCAGCAGTCCAGGGAGGTTCCAGTTGACTGGAGGTTACCAAATGTGATGCCCATCCACAAGAAGGGCTGGAAGGAGGATCCAGGAAACTACAGACCTGTCAGTGTGACCTTGGTGCCAGGGAAGGTTATGGAGCAGATCATCTTGAGTGCCTTCACATGGCACATACAGGACAACCAGGTGATTAAGCCCAGTCAACACAGGTTCATGAAAAGCAGGTCCTGCTTGACTGAGCTGATGTCCTTCGATGACAAGGTGACCCACTTAGTGGACGAGGGAAAGGATGTGGATATTGTCTACCTAGACTTTAGTAAAGCCTCTGACACCATTTCCCACAGCATACTCCTGGAGAAACTGGCTGCTCATGGCTTGGATGGGTGTACAGTTCGCTGGGTAAAAAACTGTGTGGCTGGGACCAAAGAGTTGTGGTGAAGGAAGTTGAATCTAGTTGGCGGCTGGTCAAGAGTGGTGTTCTCCAGGGCTGGGTATTGGAGCCAGTTCTCTTGAATATCCTTATCAATGATCTGGACAAGTAGATCGAGTGCACCACCAGTAAGTTTGCAAACATCACCAAGTTGGGTGGGAGTGTTGACTTGCTTGAGGGTAGGAAGGCTCTACAGAGGGATCTGGACAGGCTGGATTGATGGGCTGAGGCCAATGGTATGAGGTTCAACAAGACCAAGTGTCAGGTCCTGCACGTGGGTCACAACAACCCCATGCAGCACTACAGGCTTGGAGAAGAGTGGCTGGAAAGCTGCCCGGCGGAAAAGGACCTGGGGGTGTTGGTTGACATGTGGCTGAATATGAGCCAGCAGTGTGCCCAGGTGGCCAAGAAGGCCGATAGCATCCTGGCTTGTATCAGAAATAGTGTGGCCAACAGAACTAGGGAAGTGATTGTCCCCCTGCATTTGGCACTGGTGAGGCCCCACCTTGAATACTGTGTTCGGTTTTGGGCTTCTCACTACAAGAAAGACATTGAGATTCTGGAGCACGTCCAAAGAAGAGCAACAAAGCTGGTGAAGGGTCTAGAGAACAAGTCTTAGGAGGAACAGCTGAGGGAACTGGAGTTGTTTAGTCTGGAGAAAAGGAGGCTGAGGGGAGACCTTATCGCTCTCTACAACCTCCTTTCAGGTAGTTGTAGCGAGGTGAGTGTCAGTCTCTTCTCCCAAGTAACAATAGGACAAGAGGAAATGGCGTCAAGTTGCGCCAGGGGAGGTTTAGATTGGACATTAGCAAAAATTTCATCACCAAGTGGGTTGTCAAGCACTGGAACAGGCTGCCCAGGGAAGTGATTGAGTCACCATCCCTGAAGGGATTTAAGAGACACGTAGATGTGGTGCTGAGGGACATGGTTTAGTGGTAATTTGGCAGTGCTAGGCTAACAGTTGGACTTGATGAGCCTAAAGGTCTTTTCCAACCTAAACGATTCCATCTGAGAAGGGGTGAGGGAATTGCACTTTACTATAACTATTTCATTTCTTGATGGTAAATTAAGGATTTACTTACGGTAAACTACTCTTGAAAACCTGGTTTTCTTATTTTTGATTTTAAACATCAAGACATATTCAGTATCATTCAATTACCCAAATTAAAATTGTGAAATTACAGTAGAAAAAGCAATAACAACAAAAAATCACCCTAAAACCTAAAGAATCAAAGCAATAACAACAAAAAATCACCCTAAAACCTAATCAAACGACCCCAGACCTAGGAATCAAAGATACCATTCAGACTCATTATGTCCAGTTAGGCTTGAAAAGATTTGCTATGTCCACGAATATAAGCACATTCTGTTAGTTTCAAAGATAATGACACAGTCAATCCAAGAAAAGCAATATGAGTAATTTCTGATCATTTTAACTCTTTCTTCATCATAACAGATAGAATTTCTCACTCTACTTATTTCACAACAGGTCTTTAACAATATAGTTTTTCTTTGATCTAACTATGAAATCAATTAATTTTTTTATCATTTAAAAGCAACAGTTTTCAGCACTTTCAAACCCTATGAACCAGAAAAGTACAGGTTTCATCTCATCTGAAAACCAATGCTACAGAAGCCTATTGATAAGTTTGTACTGAATTTCAACATTTGCATTATTTTTTATTTTATAGTAATCTACTTCTATTTAGATCTTAAATACAGTATCCCTTTAAAAGAAATAACTCCATCTGCAGATAACAGACTAGCTATCACAATTTGTTTCAATACGTCAGCTTTCCCAAATGCTATATTCCTCCGCTACAAGTTTAGCTTAAATAAAGGAACTCGCATATGAAATTTGAAGGGACAGAAGTAGCTAAATCCATGGTTTACTGACACTTTCTTACTCCTGAAGTTTTGATCCATGAAGAAGAAAATATTTTAATCCTTTTTAAAGCATTTTCATTATGTAAACCTCTATACACGGATAAAACCTTCACAGTTACAATCACACTATCACTCTATTCAATTCTTATCATCAGAGCAAATATATTGAAGTTTTGCTTTAATGAATCCCATTACTACTGCAGAAACAATGTCAGGTTTCTTAGAAATTTTCCATTTCTCACCATTTCTGATAGTTACATATGATTTCTAATTAGATTTTTCCGACTTAAAATTCATATTAGAGTATGCTGACCACCCAATGATGAAAGTAGATGTGTACTTGAATCACCTTAATTTCAAAAACTACAATATCTAAATTCTAGGTATTTCTGTAAAACAAAGTTTGCTTTATTCAAAGTATAGCATTCAGGAAAAAGTATATTTTAATAACATTGGTCATGATATATGAGAACCCTTTGTTGAGCAGCAGAAAAAGAAAATCAGGTATAATATTTTGTATTTATGATAAACATATTTCACAACCAAAGACAACAGCAATTCCAGCTTAAACCCACAGACCTATAGTTTTATAAAGCTTTGTTGATAGGCAAAGTAAGCTTTTTTCTATACCTGGAAGATCTCTCTCTTCGACACTGTATTCCAGAGATCCAAAGGAATAATTAGCTGGACTGATTGCAGGAGTAGAAATAAAACTTGTACAGCCAATGGATGAGTTGATTTCAAAATAATTGTGACTGTGATTCATTCGGTGAAATTCCAGAGAAGATACTATTGATGTGCGCTGCTTGGGCTACAAGAAAAATAGAAGTTTGGAGTGAAAAATACAGACCTACTGTATGGTTTTCATTACTTGACATTTAACAAATTTACCTAGGGTTTCTCTCTTTCTACTGTTTTCATTTGGCTCAAAAGTTATACTAGTAAAATCATTTCATGTGACAAGCTGTGGTAATGTAGAGATAATTTCCTTCCAAAATTTGGATTAATCTTTATTAGAAAAAATGCATGTCTTCATTCTAATCAATTTAATTCAAAATAAAATAGGGTTTTACAGCCTTGCATATAATAATTGCAATCATCTTTTGATAAGAAAGGGAGCTCTTCACCAGCTGCATTGCTGGGTGCATCTTGCAAAACAATTAGACTGCTGATGCCTATATAATTAAATTTACAAAATAATAGCAAGCACTCATAACTCAAAAGCAACCCTCTGCTGTTTATTCAATTTATGAAGGGCTGCCTTAAATATTCAAAGACTGGAATGTCTGAAAGCTGAGGGGAAAAGTGTCAGCTTAAAAAGCCTACATGAAAATCAAACTTTCTTCATGAGTTTTCACGGAATAGTGAAAAACTTGATACTAGCTTGTATCAAACATTTTCTTTTGAAGTGAAACTCTGCACTGACCCCACGTAATGGCTGCGCTTTGGATTGCGGAGCAGCTTCAGAGCACAAGAAACTCATTCCTTTTGGGTGGATGTACACCACTAGGTACCTTACAGGACTGTACAAAATGTGCTCCAATTCCTTATGGCCTTTTGACCACAGGACCACACTAAAGCTAGCCCAAATTAAAACCAGTGAAACCTATAAAATGTGATCATCAGGTCAGCAACAACTTTTTCACTACACGGATCTGTTCCCATTACACTGCACTACTTATTAATACCGACATAAACTTAGTGCTTGATGTCATGGACTATAAGCCACAGACCACTGATGATTTGCAATGTCATGCTAAATAGTCTGTTGCAGCACTCATCTGGCTCCATACTCAAAATAACCTAACACCATGATTCTCCTTGCTGCTTCAAGAACAACGACCTGGAACATTAAATGCCTTCTCCAAAATAGAGGAGGCCCTGCACCCAGGTGTATAGCTGTCTGTATATTTATTTTACAACAGTGAAAAACATCTCAGGAACTGCTGCCTTAGATAACCAGGGCTGGAAAAAGTAAATAGAAAAATAGAATAAAAGGTGCTTTAATTCTTCTTGTTTTAGCATGTCAGGCTTAAGAGGTCAGAATATTTGTAAAGGTCAAGAATTTGCTACTTATTAGTGTCAAGACCAAATTATTGCCCTGGGAGCAGTAAGATCTTCCTCAGACCATGAAGCTATTCACCATCCCTCACTTAGAACTACCTGTTAAAATGCAATCTGTCCCAGTGGAGTAATTTTCAATTTTGTTTGCGGTCTGTTTCATGTTTAGGTTATGAGCCCTGCAATATTCGTGTTAGAAATACAGAACTAGACTGTTTTCACTAAAAATTCACTCTTTCTATCAACATTTTAGACAAAAACTTAAACAGACTTAGGTTTGCATAATGTTGATTGATTGTTAAAGTTGTGTTGGGCACCATGTGAATTAACTGTGTCCTGTTAAAACTGAGAAAAATAGCAAAGGGTAAATTTGGGCATTCATCTGGAACTCACGTACAGTCTATTGAGGGGATTTACTTTCTTTAATAATTAAAAACAGCTTCTGCTTTGAAAGGCTGACTCCTAGGGCTAGTAATTTCATGGGAGAGTTCAATGAACAGGGACAGACTCCAACATCAAACAGTCTGGTTAAAAGTCATTGTTTGGGACCTGAGCCAAAATAATTCTCTGATCAGACCAAAAATATTCATGTGTACTAATTAAGCCTAAAACACACACTTTTGCTAGACAACAAATTCATCAATGACCTAACTATTTCTAAAACTGAAAAAGATCTCCGGTCATTTAGGAACATGTTCCTGGCCCTTTCCCAAGCAATGGTGTCTTTGTGGTTTTGCAGGAATTCAGCTTCTGAGTTGAAAAGATGACACTTCAAGTAACATGGTGTGCAGGAACTCTGATTATTCAAAAAATGAGACAGTTCCTACCTAAAAAGGCAGCTGGGATGATCTGGCTCAGTCTTTCTAAGCAGCTTCAAAAACTCCTCTGGCTATGTCCAGTCAGGTCTCCAGCCACTGCTTCAACTCTGTGCCCCTTTCTTGGAGTCAGAATAGCAGCATCCGATTCATCATACGGCCTTTTACTAACTTATGGATGATCAGCTGTTTCACTACACCTTAGTGTAGTATTACAACCTACTGTAACATCTTTTAAAAGTTTCACAAAAACACCTGCAAGGTCTTGGGGAAACAGAGGGGGGAAAGAAACCAAAAAAAACCAACCCCAAACCCAAAACTGTTCTGAAGCATTTTTAAAGACCGGTTTAGTTTGCAAATGCTTTGAAAATGTGTCCATCAATAAATAGCTTTGATTTTCTCTGGAGACATGAGTTAATGATATAAAATAGTCTAGAATGAATTTCAAAGATGATTATGGAAGCTAGAAACATGTTTTCTGTTTGTTCATGCTAACATGCAACCATCTGGTGACCTGGGTGATACAAAATACCTCCTATATTATTTTGGGCTTTGACATTATTATTATTAATTCAAACAAACATATCGCAGTTTAATGTGTCTTTCTAATCTAAGGATTCTGTTCAGAACCTCATGCAGCCTCTAGTGCTCTACAGCATAACACTTCTGCTATATCGTTTGGAGTTAACAAGGTCCATCTGTCAAGATGTGCCAATAATTTTTCTACATAATTACACAGGAATCTAGCATCTGAGCTTTTGTAGCTAACTAGAGGAGCCTTTTGCATCTTTTCTGGGTCCTTTAAAATGTTATGTTGTTAAAGTATGCTAATTGTTCATTAATATATGCTGAGACATGCAGTAAACCAGTTTGTGTTTATTGCATCCCTCTGTCTGAGCTTTTGTAGCTAACTAGAGGAGCCTCTAGGCTGAGGTGTCTCTCTAAAGTGCAGTTAACACAAAAACTGTAGAAAAAAATGGGATTTTTTTCTACAGTTAGCATTAAATTCAGTTCCAGATTTAGGTAACTAAATTTATAGCATAGCTATTTACATCTACACTGGGTATCTAAGCTCCTATTACAGTCAATTGAGACCTAGTCAATACAACCAATAGAGTCCAGAGAACTTAACACAGGTATCCACTGGCACTGAAGATTCCCTGGGGCATCCCACCTGGCCTCCAGCTGCCATCCAGAAGAGTGCAGGTCTCCCCTGTGTATGCCCTATATCATACCTGAAAGCCGCCATGTCCATGTCAAAGATACCTTTAAGGGACCTCAAATGACATTGGCTATTTTTAGGCAACTGAATTGAATCCTACATCTCTACTGGTCATGATGGGAGATTAGATATCCAAATCAGGCAGAGATTCTTACATACAGAGATGAGAGTATAGGTGTTTTAGTCCCAGATGGAATCCCACCTCTAGCTCACGTGTAGACACTCTGCGTACTTTACTTCTGGAGCCAAATTCCAGCCTTACTGGCGGAATGTGTAGCCAGCAATTAATGAGTGACTTACTGGTGTCTTGTACCTTGCTTTCCTGGATTAGATCTTTCAGAGCTACTCCTTGAGATCTCTCAAGATAGATCCGGAATAATTCTAAGATGACTATTTGCTATATGCAATACCATAATATCCAGGAAATGTAGTCAGGGTTCAAGGTTCTATAGCTGTGGAGACTGTACAAATACAAAACTCTGTCCCAAAGAGATGACGCTTCCTTGATTCTTTGTACCAAAGCCAGCTTTGCCAGTCATTAAATGACGTCTACCTCATACTACTCAGAAGGTCTGATCACACTTAGATAACCCTTGTGAAATTGTAGCCTACTTATGGCTTAACTTCAGCCCCGTATGCGTACTACATAACCACATGCAGATCAGTCCTTAAGTATATTTTCTTCATCCATTGCATTCATGTGTTTAATTTACTTGTTATGTGTATGTAATCTCTTTAATGACTGATTTTGTTTACTTTAAAATGTTTCTTCATGACTATGATTTCAGTTGTCATAATATCGACCTAGAAAACCTTAGACTATCCTAAAACAGCATACCAAATCAGGCTAATGAAGAAACCTTATCATCAACACAAAACTAAAAATATAGCAATGAAAATCTTTAAAGATATTGCAATAAAAATATTTAGATAACTTTCAAATCAGGTCTAATAAGAAGACTACTTTCATGTTATGTCAGTAGTGAACATACAAACATCAATGAAAGATATCTCTTTGAACACTGCAAAACAGGAAAGGCATCAAAATACACATACTGAATTACCTTTCTATTAAGAGTAAGGACTTACTTAATGCTCCCATGAATGGAAGTTGTATGCAAATTCTGTAATGCTACTATGACTTGCATGTAACACTATGAGTATGCAAGGGATCATTCAAATATTTTTCACATTTAGCTGAGGGAGTAGGGCAAAATTCCTTTCCCAATTTAACATCAAAATATTTCTCCAGCATTGAAGTACTCCACAATATAAGCTTGTGACTCCACCTTCTTTTATCTTTGGGATTTGTGTACACAGCACCACCACAGTCTGTAAAGAATTAATTCTCATAACAGTACCGTGCACTATGGCAGAACTATTAGCCCCATTTTACAGATGCTGAACTAGGGTATAGAGCTCTCCCAAGAGAGAGATGTGTGGTTCATTAAATCACTGAGAACCAATGAGCCTGAGGAAATTCTGTGTTTGTCAAATCCTGCCAAATTCCAGCTGCCTTGCATAATGTAAAAACTGGTCTCCGTTGCATTATACCATGCAGAAAATGTATGTTGGAATAGAGAAGTGAACACACATGCTCAAATTCTAGCTAGCAAACAAAATACAGACCTATCAAAGAAAGTAAGAGGCTATAGCCCCTTCCCCCAGGCTCATCTCGTATACATAACACAGTACGAGTGTAGCCACGTGGCT